TGGAAATCAGCTTACCCGAGGGGTTCCCCAGCCTCTCCCACTGGCTCTACAATCAAACTGACACCATGCTCCAGGGCTTAGTGAAACAAGGGGACCCTCAACAGGTCATTGAGTACTCTCTGGCCCTCATCACCATCTTAAATGAGGTAAAGGGGCCTCCAGAAGGCCTTGCAATCACCGGCAATGTTCTTCAGCCAGGTTTTGTACAGCAGTGCAGGGAAATGACTAGTGCTGCAGTTTTTCATGTAAATCAGTGTATGTGCATGCTGGGAGCTGGGCTGGAGCTCTTTGCATGCATCAAAAAGAGTAACAAGCTCCAGACACACAATGACCAGGGAAAACAGAGGGACTGCAAAAAAACCCAGAGGTCCCAGAGAAGGCAGTGGCCTGGGTGTCTCCCATGCAGCCTGCTTTTTTGCCCTCATATTCAGATAGTTTTTCCTCTTTATTGCCAGCCTTGTCTAAACACTGAATTTAGAAGCAGAAACTTAGCCCCAGTTCCCCCACCTCCTTCATGCTTCCCCTAAGCCAGCCACCCCATTCCAACTCAGCAGGGCTGGGAACTCCCTGTAGCTGCTCAGGTGCTGCTCTGGGTGCTAAGGAGACCTCGTCGTTCTGACTGCTGAGCTAGTGCAGCTAGAAAGATCTTCTGGCCGCATACAAGGCTCTTAATCCACAGTGCAGGAGCATCATCCTCCTGGCAGCATTCACTTTCATGCCTACCTAAAGCAGGGCCCAGTCCCTCCATCTGCATCTCTATAGGCAGGGCAGGAATTTTGGTCTCTACTCATGCTTTTGTGCCCGCTAAGAGCCTGCTGCATGCCTGGAAGCCAGGCAGGGGCGATCCCCCTGAGCACAGGCGCTGTGCTTAGCTGGATAAGGACTGCACACTGGGGTGCTACTTAGCTGTCAAGTGCAAGGCTGTTGAGATAATTGCTTGGAGAGCACAAGTGGAATTGAGGAAGTTCTACTGAAAAAACAGCTCATTAGATCACCCTCTGGGGAGGAGCACAGGCAGGGAGATACAGAGTGCAGGGAAGAGGTGCCTTCAGCACAGCTCATCATCCTCAAAACAACCTGATACATTTCCTCACTCTACCTGCTTTTCTCCCCCCTCCCAGTACGAGCGGTCCATGCTTCTGGAACCTGAGACTGGGAATGAATTTGAACTCCGGACCTGGACTCGCAACAATATCACAGAAACCCTGAACTCGCTGAACGTGAACACGGTTGATGATATCCAGCAGATCTCGGCTGCCTTGGCACAGTGCACGGTATGTTCCCCGTCGCCACCTCCAGCCTCCTGCTCTTCCAGGTGCAGCTTAGATGTTCTTCAGTTCTTGTTCTGCTTCCCCATCTCTCTCTCCCACACACATACCATGCAGGGAGGACAGGTATGACTTGTTGACATGGGTAGGGTTTCTGCGGTGATGTCCTACGTGCTGTCAGCTCTGCCCCTTGCCGTGCCACCGATCTAGCAGGCGTGGATAAGAGGATGTATTCATGTGCTGGAAGACAGCACCTGAGCCCTCTGCGCCTCTTCCCTGGTACCAGCCCTGGTGCGGCAGCTTGCTAGCAAGTAGGTTCCTTCACTTGCAGATGGGGACTGTAGGAGAGGCCTCGGTAGACTGGAGAAGCACTGAAATAAATTGGGGGAGTCGCAGAATCTCCAAGGACAGGCTGGACTCCCATCGGGAGTAACACAAGTAGAGCTGGATCTGCCTTGAGCCAGGGGACAGCGCCAAGGCCCGACGTTCCTTCCAGCCCTATTTTTACCATGTGAAATGATCGAAACACTGCTCTGCTTTGCTGCTGACTGGAAGCGTTGTGTTCCCCAGCCAGCTCACAGTTTCAGCTCCCCGGCTGGTGGATTTAGGAGCGGCTTTATGTGTTTTGTCAGATGGGCAAAGGGAAGAGAGCCCAGTTATATAATGTGCTTGGGGTTTGGTGGTCAGCCAGCCGGCTCTGGCATGCTCTTCCTCCCCGCCCTCCCAAATCTGTGCTTTCAGGACTGGAGTCAGGTACCCTGGCCTTGGCTGCCCATCGCCGCCCCGGCCAGGTCAGCCACCTCGCTCAGTAGGAAGAGGCTGTCATTGAAATGACGGACAGACTGCTGCATCCCACCCACAGAGTCCCTATCCTGCTGCTCCTTTGTCTGCTTCCAAGTCTGTAAACCTTAAAACCCCACTTCTTTCTGTTCATCTTTATTCAGGGATTTGGGGTTCGGCACATCCCATTCCGATGCTGGATTGGTTTGTTTCTGTCTCTCCCATGTGCTCTTGCCTTGCGACTTGATCTCGCTGTGGAAGCTTAAGTCTAGAAATAGAATTTTTGTTCCATGGGAAAAGCTAACTTCCCAGGATTAGTTTGTGCTCTGGATTGGAATGAAAACCTTAGAAAAACAGTAATGTAGAATTTCCCAAGTGGTTGAGACTAGCGCAGAGTTCACACATTTCCTTTCCTGCAGAAGTGTCAATCAGTGCTGATACTTTTTTGATTTTACCTACAGGGGAGAGGAAAAATTGGAATTGATTTCTCCTGAAGGGGAAAAAAAAAGTATCTCAGTCGTCTTAGTAGATTCTTCTTCCTAAGCAGTAGCTCCTTGGGTGGTTCCTCCCCATAACCTTTCTTCTTCCCCACCTCCTTGATACCTGACTCTGCCGTGCGGACTCCAGTTTACACAGTATGCCCTCACTTCTCATAGCTTACAAATAAAAGCAGAAAAGGGGGGAATTTTAGACCTGCAGATGCTGTTTTGATTCTTCACCAAAACATATGGTGAATCACGTCTGAATCCTATGATGATTAAAAGAAAAAAGATGAATAAGAGCTAGGAACGGGGCTGTGGTAACAGCTTCCATGTGTTGCCTCAGTCCCTCCCATCCAGCCCTCGAGAGTGTGGGGAGCTCCAGGCCATGGCTAGAACATTCTGTTTCTTGGACACATCTGGGAGCAGAGGGAGGGACATCCATCATGCCTGAGTGGCAGGATCCCTCCCACAGCTTTCAGGAGTATTTGGACACTGAAATGGATTCAGTTAGGGCGAAATCTTGCTTCCATTGAAGATCGCGGAGTGGATGGAGGAATCCTATCCAGCTCCTTCTGGTTGGTTTCTGTAGGAATAGTGTGTGGCCCCAAAGGGGTGCTCATGAGATGCAACAGCAGGACACATGCTTGGTCCTTACAAGTGAACTCCAGGGAACATGAATACGCTGCCCTTTATTGCTCTTTCCAACCCTAATGCATCCTCCATCAGACTCCCGGCATGCCTGCCAGTACGCTGGCTGATTGTAACGTGAGGGGAGGTGGATGGAAGAGTCTTGGAGACACCAACAACTTCTTGGCATCTCTCGGTGTGAGCAGAGCAGCCATGATCTCTGCAGTCACCTCCCTGGGGCTGGAAAGAGCAGGGGTGACTTTGCGTGCAAGTGGTGTTTGAACAAATGGGCTCAGGCCTTTGCAGGACTAAGCCAGCTGAACTTGCCTACAGCTGCCTTCGTCTTTCCCCGGGGGCATTCCTACTGAATCAAACTCTGTTTCCCTTTGCAGGTGGTGAGCAAGGAGCTGGTTTGCAAGTCATGCCTGACAAGGACCTTGAACAAGCTGGAGACCATGATGACCATTCTGCAAGGGGAAACGACCCAGGGCACCGTGACACCGACTGGTATCGCCGACAACATCCTCAACATCACAGGTCAGTTTTGTTCCTGCAGGAACGGGTGACATTTGACCGGGCGCTGCTGAGGGCACAGGGCTCCCTGCACAGGGTGCTGGGCAGAAGTAGACCGAGGGAAGCTTTGCAGGCTTTCTCCTGTACCATTAGGGGTTTGGCTCATGCCTTCTGAAGCTGTTAGGGAGATTGTGTCTAACATTTGGAGTGTGGCACCCCAGTACTTCCTTCTCCCTGCACTTTTCCCAGGGTTGTCCTGGTTTTGGCAGCTGTCTCTGTGGACATTTAAATATGACAGTTGTTAATAAACTCACTAATACTTCAGGGAATTGTCTTTTTAGTAAACAATGAGTAACAGCTATGGCTTCCAGATGCTTGCCTTCCTGGTTGCAATCTGATTGCCTTCCTGGTTGCAATCTGAGGAGGTTGCCAAACTTCACCGGGGTACCAATGAACACTGTGCGGAAATTCCCACCTGGTTACCCTGGGAGGAAGCAGAGGCACCTTCTTCGCACTCCTTGTTATGTATTTCTGAGCATTCTGCACTTCACAGTGCAAAAACGTAGTAACATATGTTTGCTTTATCCATTCTTTCCCTGTTTCCCAATCTGCCGTTCTAGTCATTTCACAGGAGGAAAATAAAGCCTGTTGTGATTAAGTATTCAGCACCAAACTTCGTAGATTAGCCGAGAGCCTGCCAACAGCTCTATTCTTAGCTATGGGCTACTGAACACTTCCAGTGGGGAAGGTCATGTGCACAGTGTAGACTTGCAGTGAGAAGACAGTAAGGAAAGGCTTGTCTGATTGTTTTGGGAAGGTGTCAGATGTTACCTAGACTGTAGCAGTTATCTAGGCTATTTACCACTTCCTCTGTTTGCACCTTTATTTCTCTCCTGGCAGGTGACCTAATTCACCTCGTCAATACGGTTTCACAAGAATCCAAGCCCCAGGAACTGCTTTCTGATTCCCACAATTTGCTGCTAGCTCCCAAAGCCTACAACCTGTCTTCCAGCCTGATGCGCATCCTCATGAAGTCTCGAGTGCTGAATGAAGAGCCCCTTGAGCTGGTGGGAGGAGAAATAAAGGCCACAGGCAAGCGGTCTGATCCCTTTAACTTGCTTTGCTACGAAAACACACCAAACTGCCAGTTCTCCATCCCCCAGGCGTTCAACACCACCCTTTCCAACCTGACGGATGTCATTCAAGTCATGTTCCAAGTGGACTCCAATCCTTTCCCTTTTGGTTACATCAGCAACTACACCGTGTCCACAAAGGTCGCCTCCATGGAGTTTCAGACACACAACGGGGTGCAAATCCCCATTGGGAGCCTGGACTCAGAGAAAGCCATCACCGTGATGGTGTCAAACAACACGGATGCTAACAATCTCTCTGCTGGCACTGAAGTCATCGAGGCGAGGACATCTGTGAACCTAATTGTGACTATGGAGAGCAACAACAGAGAAGCAGGACTGCACTTCCAGCTCACTTACAGAGTCCTGAATGGTAGTGCAGACAGATCCAATTCTTTTTGCTCTTTGCTGTTTCTTCCCGTGGGAGAGGAGGGCTGGGTGTTGCAGCAAAGGAGGGCTGTGTCAAGAGATAATTGGTGTGGGAGGGGATGTCAGGTGTAGCCAGCAAGTGCCACACTGCATGGTTGAGGTTCTGGCTGTCATGGGCATTATCCAGTCCCCAGTCTAATCCTTGCTTGTGGATTGTGGCACTGAGAAGCCTTTTGCTTTTCCTGGCCCTTCTGTTGAGCCACAGTAGCACAGGAGGGAGCTTGTCCGGTCCCTCTCTTGGTCATGTACAGTGGCATCCAGAGTCTCTTGCTCAGGGATGCTCTGAACTGTGGACTGAGAGAGTGCAATCTGGAAAAGCATCTCTCCCAACTTTCTGCATGCCTGCTACTCCTCCCTGAACATCCACTGCTGGCAGCAGGCTTGTGGTTGAGCTCTCCCTAGTGTTTATAAAGTACTTTCTGGTTTCTCTCCCCCTCCCCACACAGATCACTACATTGCAAGCGAGCCTGAGCCATTCATCATGGCTTATCTCCATCACGAACCAGAGCCCAACGAGCACAACTGCAGTGCCTCTAAGAAAATTGGCCTGGATGCCCTGGCTGGAAGTGACCACAAGCTCTACACCTTCTTCACCTCACCCAGGTAAGAGAAGCCTCCCTTGTAATCCCTGTCACCCCCAGGCTGTCCCATGGATGCACCTCAAGGATGCTCAGGGCCTCGCCGTGGCTTATGCCAGGCTGCTTTGCAGGGCTGGTGCTGCTGTAGCTATCCACAGTGCTCCTCTGTCCTTGGAGGAGACTGCTCTCCTGGGCAGGCAGCTGCAAGCTGCTGTTCCTACACCCCAGCATTGGCTCCTCTTCTACCTCAGCACTCCCTCCTTCCCAGACATCTGCTGCTGCTGGTGCAAAAGCAGCTCAGTGCCCTGTGATTTGCCTTTCTGATCCAGGTGAGGGAGGGTTCCCCTTTTTAGAGCTGTAAGTCGTGTTCCCTGTGAGTATCGTGACTCTCCCTCCCGCTGCCCTTTTCTCCGCTCACTTGTCTAACAGCTGCTGTAGACTGTTGGTCTGTTGCTTGTCCAGATCTCCATCCTCTGTGCACTGCCGATCCCAGAGCTGCCCATCTTTACCTGGACACTTTCCGCAGGGGACTCACACTGACCTTTGCAGATTCAGGGGTTGCTTCATGCAGCTCATGAAACCATTTCCCGGGACAAAGCACCACACGTTAGCCTAGTTCCTGAACTGCAGAGCAACCTTCACAAAAGCACCTCTATCCTCAGAGCTCATCTTCCCAACGTGTGACTGGAAGAGAGTGCAGGTTCCCTCATGGGCTCCCGTCCACCCTGCCTGCCTGCTGCTTGGAGCATGCCGGGGCTCTTTAAGCACTGCTGTTGTGCTGTTGGGTTTTACAGCAAAGCCATCTTCTTTTTATCAGAGCAGTCATTCTTGTAACTTCAGTTGCTGACTTGCTGCCTTGCCCGGGAGCGTGTGTGTTCATGCCTCGTGTTGTTTATGAGCCATTCCTAGGCATTATCTGAGAAGAAAAGATAGGCAGCTTGGGAGTAGGTGGGGCAAGAGTGGAGCCACTGTTGCGTAAGTTGACACAGCTTCCATGGCTTTTGGTAACAGGATGCTCAAAGAGGGATTAATCTTCGTAATGAGCAATTCTGCTCCCAGCCAAGAATCATAGAGTTGCTATGGAAGTGTCGTGAGGGTCAGTGGGACACAGGGAAGGGTGGGTGGGAGAGCTGGGCAGAGAAGAGGATGTGCAACATAGTGCTCCAGGTGCTGAAATAATACAAAGATAAAGAAGAATTCAAGTGATCTGTAGAACCCAGAGTTTCTGCACAGCCAAGGGTGGTGTAAATTACACCACGTTCACTGGGCTTTTCCTCCTCATTGTGTGCTTACCTGTCCCTGCGGCAGGGTGCTTTCCACGGGGACGCATCCATCAGAGCGCGGTTTGTGTCCCTTCAGCAGGCAGGTTAATAATGTCTCCTTGCTGTCTTTCCCTTCTCCAGAACGGATGACACCATCCAGAAATACTACTTCAACATCACAAACCATTTCAGCTGGTCCCCGGTGGAGGTGACTCTGGGACTGTACACCTCCCTCTGCCAGTACTTCAGCGAGCAGGAGAAACGGTGGAAGACAGAAGGCATCATCCCGCTGGAAGAGACCAGGCCAGACCAGGCTGTGTGCTTAACCCAGCACCTCACCGCCTTTGGGGCCAGTCTGTTTGTCCCCCCAAACTCCGTCCAGTTCGTCTTTCCTGTGAGTAAAACACAGCAGAGGCCGTGCGGCATTGCCACACGCCGAGCAGATTGTTGTCGCTTAGAGGAAAGCCTCAGGCTCCCAGCGGCTTCACGTTCGAGCTGGGTCATGGCTGACGTGCCCAGCTGGCAGACCAGCACAGCTACCTGAGAGCCTTTGGGAGCTGCAGATGGGCACAGCTCGCAGAGGGGCTGCCTCCTCTCATCGTGAATCCTGGCTGCTGCTCCTAAAACCAGACCTTTGCTGATGGCTTTATTCTCTATTCTGGACACCTCGCAGCGTGTTCACCTCTTGGCGAGATGCCAAATGCTCCTCCCAGCTGTCACCCAGCATTGTTTTATCCCAGCAAGCTCGCACCTGCCAGCTGCTCCCTGCCTCCCAGGGGCGTTCAGGCTTTTTCTAGCTGTTGGGGTGACGTAAGTGGGAGCAGAGAGCTCTCGGCAGCTGCTACAGCAGCTTCAGCCGGCTGCTGCGGTCGCTCCGCGGGGCTGTGAGCATGCAGTCTGTGCAGGGACAGGTCTCTTCGCATGTGGTATCATGGGTGCGAATGATGATTATAGCCAGGAAGGAGGCAGCACGACTCCCGGGGAACAAGGGGGGTCCTCCTGGGGAAGGAGAGTGCCTGGCAACATCCTTCTTTTCTTTCAGGCTCCAGGCCCAGGTCTCAACTACATCGTTCTGCTGACATGTGCCGTCTGCTTTGTGACCTACTCGGTGGCTGCACTGATCGTGCATAAGCTGGACATGATTGACATTAACCGAGTCGGGGTGATTCCCTTCTGCGGGAAGAACGGGATGTACAAATACGAGATTCTGGTGAAAACTGGCTGGGGCAGAGGATCAGGTTAGTCCATAGTCTACTCCTGCGCTTGATTCCTAGGGTGACATCTGTGTAGTTCCCCTAAGGTCTCACCTCAGCACATCATGCACCAAATGTTCCCCTGCAGGGTCCAGAGCTGAGCTGGTGTTTGGAGCAGGGAGCAGCACTGAGCAGAGAGTTCAGGGCTTCCCGCAGCATTCACAGTTTTTACTGTGCGATGATGGGGTGGGTCAAGAGCTCTGGAGAAGAGCATGCTGCTCCACCGCTTGCTGTTGGGGTGGGACAAGCAACTGCTGCTGGAAGGAACCACCCAGTGTAGAAATACCCCCACCCTGCTTCCCCTGACTGGGCTGTGGTTGCAGGAACAGCCAAGAGGCAGCGATTGTTCCTCACTTCTGACCCTCTCCCGCAGAAGCATCCAGGCCTTGTGGGCCCTTTAGATGGACTGTTTTGCTGTCTTCCAGCATCCATCATCCATCCATTTGTTCTGCCATCTGAATCTTTCCCAGCAGCATGAAGGCAGAAAGCTTGGCTTTCTGATCCAGGGCTGGGTTTGTAGCTAGAGCTGCCAGAAACATCATCCTGAACTTGGAAATCTGGGCAGTTGGGCTGTGGAAGCTCTAAGCAAGGACGGAGGTAGGGTGCCATCATGTCACTGCCAGAAACATGCTCCCATTGATCTTAGTGTAACCACTGGTTTCACTGGCAGCAGCTTTCTCCTGAAGCCACCCCAAGGACCATCCAGGTTGAGCAGGTGGACCAAGGAGCATCTGGCAACTGGTACCGGAGAGAAGTCAAAGAAAACAAGTCTTTCAACTGCTTGGTGGAAAAAACATCCAGACTAAACATCTCCTCCCATTAGGGTGTTAGCAAAGCAAGGAATGTCAGATTCAGTCCCCTCCAAAGAGAAAAACCATGAGCATGCCAAGGTCCCTGCACCAGGCCAATAAGAGCGGCTGCCCTCCAGGCTGTGTGTAACACTATCCCTGGGTGTGGGATGGCTGCTGAGGACATTCCTTCCTCCCGAGTCTCCAGGTGGCCCCTCTGAAGGGCCATTGCATCTGGTACCAGGTCACTGGCAGGAAGGCAGGGCTGGGGAACAGCTCCACCTTGGGTGGACTTCCCTAACTGAGCCCTGTTAACTCTGCCAGGTACCACGGCCCACGTGGGGATCGCCCTGTACGGTATAGACAATAAAAGCGGTCACAGACATCTGGACGGAGAAAACGCCTTCCACCGCAACAGCCTCGACGTGTTTCAGATCGCAACGGAGCGGAGTCTGGGGAGCATCTGGCGCATCCGCATTTGGCACGACAATAAAGGTGAGACGTGAGCGGGTGTGTGGGCCTGAGGCAGCCATCACACAGCCCAGGTCAGAACCAGGATCTGCTCCGCCTGGTACCTGGGCCAGGAGAGAGGTACCTGGGCCTCCAGTCTGGAGTAACCCCGATGGGAGACCATGGTGACTCACTGGCTTGGGGGAAGATTGCTGGGGCGGGCGTGGAGTCTCCATCATGGGGAAGTCTGCAGGCTGGTCAGCTGTAATCCCGTACACATACGATGCGATGTGCTGTGACAGTGTCCATGCAGCCTAGGAGGTGACCTGGCTATGCCCAGCGTTTCTCCTGGGGACTGTGCAATTCCCACTGACTAAGGCAGTGTCACAGGGTAACTGCTGCTGTCCCGCTGAGGGGCTCCTGTGTTGCCCTCTTGGCTTTGCAGGTCCACGCAGGGAATGCCTGCCGTGAAACACACTTCTTTATCTCTTTAACTTTTAGGACTCAGCCCCTCTTGGTACCTGCAGCACGTCATAGTCCGGGACCTGCAGAGCAGCAAGAGCTACTTCTTCCTGGTGAATGACTGGCTTTCGGTGGAGAGCGAAGAGAACGATGGCATGGTGGAGAAGGAGGTTTATGCTGCCAGTGAGTGCTCGGCTCCTGGGGCGTGGGGCTGGGATGGCTGAGCAGCACGGCAGTTCTCATTGTGTTGAGGAAGGGCCCGCGGCAGGAGACTGCAGAGAGACCACAGAGCCTGCACACTGGCTCTTCCTCACTGCATTGATGCCTTGCACAGCCAAGCGCTCTGCTGCGTCCTTTGTGCTAGAGGACAAGGCATGGCAAGGACCCAGCTGTGCAGGAGGGACCATATAGATGCAGTGTGGATGCTTCCTTGAGTATCAGTCTGCAAGGGACCATGGCAGGCCCAGCCAGGTCCCCCCTGCGCTGCACCTGGCCCTCAGGGTCTCTCTCTTCTTGTGCTCAGGTGAGACAGAGCTGAGGAGCTTCTCCCGGATCTTCATAGCAGAGTTGCAGCGAGGTTTCTTTGAGAAGCACGTCTGGCTGTCCATGTGGGACCGCCCGCCTCGCAGCCGCTTCACCCGTGTCCAGAGAGCCACTTGCTGCTCCCTCCTCATCTTCCTCTTCCTCTGCGCCAATGCTGTGTGGTACGGCGTGGTGGGGAACGTACACCTCAGGTGCGCTGCATCCCTCGGTGCTCTGGCCAGTCCCTTGCCTCCTCAGGGCCCCTCCTGCGCTTCCCTTACATACACCAGGACAGACCTTACGCCTGCTGGGAATAGGTGCCTTGCTTGTGGCCTTGAGCCTGCCCTTCCCATTCCAAAGAATCTGGGACCAGGACATGGGTGGTGGATGACCAAGGACAACCTGATCAGCTTTCCCCCTTACCTGGTTTTGCTGTGTCGTCTGTTAGCACAGTCCATGCTCGTTTACTTTCTCTGCACATCTGAAATGCCAGATTGTGCCATTTTGTCTTACTCCTTGCTTAGCTGGCAACCCTGAGTGCTCCTGCTAACATCGGTCTCTGATCTCTCGATTCCCTCCAGCAATGGGGCCGTTTCCAACCTGATCCCTGTTAATGTGGACACAGTGGCTGTTGGTCTGGTGTCCAGCGTGGTGGTCTACCCTCTCTACCTGGTCATTTTATTTCTCTTCCGGATGGCTCGTGGCAAGGTAATGAGGAGAAGCAGTTGCAGACTGCCCCGATGGGTGTGATGCCCCCAGGTTTGCTCATCTGAGGCTAGATTCTGCCCTTTGTGGTACATCACTTCTCCAGCTGGTCTCTGCACTTCTCCCAGTTGTGCCTCTGTGCTGCCCTGCACCATGGCCAGACTCTTGCCCTTAGCAAGTCCCTGCCTCCCTCTTGAGCTGGGAGCAGCCCCAGACCTTAGAGGGACACATCACTGCCTGGATTCTGACAATGCCCAGACAGAGACCAAAAGAGCAGATTTTAAAAGCTGTTTAGGCACTTCCTCCCTCTTGATTTCGGTAGGTGATAGGTACCCAAATGCCGTTCAAAGGTATGACCCTTTGCTGCATTGGCAGGACCTTGAGAGATGCTCAATGGAGCATTGCTAATGAAATGCCTACCCTGGGTACAAATTCAGCTGTCTGCGCAGAGCTGTGGGTAGGCAGCTGTGAAAGGATTAGCTGGGGATTTAATGACTAGTTAGACACAATTAGCAGCCCCATTAAGTACTTCAGCCAGCTGCTCAGTGACTGATGAGCAGCAAATGTGTCTGATATTTCTAGTTCCTGTAAGCACTCCCTGCTTTGCAGGAGGCTGCAAGCTCATGTAGCTTCCTGGGAATTTGTACCTGGGACCCTAGATGGCCCTGGGCTGTGGTACATGTGGGTGCAAGTGCCCAAAGTGCCTGGGAGGCAGTGGAGGACATGCGTGTGATCCCCCAGCCCTGCCTGCACAAGCGTGGAGCTCCTCAGCACAGCAGTGAGCTGATGGGAACCACAGAGCAGCAGGGCTCTGAGCCACCGTGACATTCTCACCTCCATCCCTCCCTTTTCTGCTCAAGCCTTCCTGTCTCCTGCAGGTCTCCATCAACCACACCCTGACTCACTCAGACCAGCAGTCCTTGGAGATCGACAACTACCTGGACTCCTCAATCCTCGACAGCTCCTTTCCTGCCTTCCCTGGGCTCCGGGCAGAGGTAAGCTGCTTCACACCCAAAAGTTGGACAGGCTGCATGGGTCTGCGTGTTCCCCTGCATGGACACAGTGTCCACCCACAGCTCTCTGTGCAAGAACTGACGCCCTCAAGTGCCTCTGGCAAATACCGGCGGTGGGGGAGAGCCACAGCCCTTCATCTCTCACCTGCATCTCTGCCTAAGGCCAGTCCCGGGTACTGAGCACAAGCTGTCTCCAGCTGCTGCTCTGTGTCTGCGAGCATGGATCTGGGCATTATCTCCTGGAGGAGAGCAGGCTCCTGGAGGTGTGGACCCAGGGCTAATAGCAGCTCAGGCTCCAGGTTTCCAGTGACCCCTGATGTTAACAACTTGCTGTTTTAACCAGGCACAAACCAATGTCTTGTGCCTGAAATGTCTCTGCTTCCTCCACAGGCCTTCTCTGAGCAAACCAAAACAGATCTGTTCTTGGAGGACTCCAAAAGGTAAGTAGATTTCTGCAGACAGAGCAAGAAGGAGTTTAGTGCAGTTTTTCTGCTTTGATAGACTGGGGTTTGTGCTCCCACAGCTGTTCCCCTTCTGGACAGTTCTACACACTAGCACAGCTGCTTTTCTCATGCTTCCCATTCCCCACACCTTCCTGATTGCACCCATTCCTCTGTTTTTCCGCAGCCTCGTGCGGTGGCCCTCCAGCGAGGCCCTGCTCAGCTGGCCGGACCTCCTCAGCGACCCCTCCATCATGGGCAACACCATCCAGAAGCTGAAGAGAGGCCGGGCCAGCCGCCACCTTGGACTCGAGGCCCCACTGGCCACTGAGGAGGACAGCTTGTCGCTTGGCGTTCACCAGGGACAGCCTCGATATTTCTCTGCCTCAGGTGGGTGCGTGAGTAGCGTTGCTCTGTGCCAGGGTTTGAATGCCCCAGGGAAATGCAGGAGAAGCAGTCTGGTCCCTAGGAGTCCTGGCTCAGCTCTGGAGAAGGCAGAATTGCAGAGCCTGCTGCCATCACCACTGGCTTCAATTTGAAGGGCAGAGGAAGAGGGTCGTATTTTCTTAATGGGGATTTCAGTCTGGGAAAGCAGAAATCCTGATGTGGATCAATCTGAAGTGAGTGGTCACTGTACTGCCAGCAGACTGGAGAGATGTGTTCCCATGGGATCTGAATGTTGCAAGCAACCAGCTTCACTGGTTGCAAGGCCACAGTGTGTCTCTGAACTCTGTAAATGGCTGGAGAAGGAGAAGAACTTGGCCTCCTAGGAGCTAGAAGACAGGGAGGAGGGCTGTCCCACAGAGAAGAACCTCACCCAGGCCCTCCTCCTGCCCAGCTCCACAAATGTGGCTGAGCCGGAGTGGTGCAGAGCCACGCCGGTGCGGCACTGTGTGCTGTGCTGCTGCCAATGCTGTTTGCGCTCTGTCTTTCCCCAGATGAGGATCTGATCCGGCAGATCCTGGCAGATGGAGCTAGCGGCATCTCCCACTCCCAGGACCTAGGGCCGTACATGAGGGCTGAAACAGATCTGATCTCAGGCCTGTAAGTACCCAGGGAGCAGAGTCCCCCACGCAAGGCAGCTGAGCCAGTGCCTCCTGTCCCTCGCCCTCCCACCCAGCTCCGCAGCGGCTGGTGGCACCCAGCTGCAGTGACCTGAGCCAAGCTGGCCTTTGTGGTGCTGCAAATGCCTGGGTCAGCCTTGTCGCAAGTCACTGTGTTTGTGCTGGCCGTGATTCCTGCAGCCCCCACAGCCAGAGCTCCAGGAGGGCACTGTTGTCCTTCCAGGAGCCACCTGGAATATCCCCTTAAAGCCCCAGCTGAAGATGTGTCTCCAGAGCTTTGTGGACTGCTGACAAAGTGCTGGGACGCGGGCTCGCTTCGTGGCACTGATGGGAGGGAGAGGGGGGTTTGAATCTCTGTTGTGTTACCGTGCCCAGAGCACCCTGCTTTGGGACCGTGACCACCACCCAGCCGGGCTGGCAGCTCGCCGCTGGGTAGCCAGTGCGAAGTGGCAGATCAAGGGAGGGGAAAGACTTTCAGCCTTCCTCCACGAGACGCCGAGCGGAGTGCTTGCGTGCCTCGGCAGCCTGGGCCCGCTGCTCGAGAAGGAAGTGCTTCTAACTGCTCTGGGGCTGCTGCACTGCTGTTAGCGCTGGAGTTCAGCCCATCTTGGTGCCAGCCTGCTTCCCGCAGGGCCAGCGGTAGCGTGGCTCACCAGGACCACCCCTTTGCCTTGGCAGGTCCAGCGTGTTCGGGGAGAAGGTGGAGACTGTCGTGATGCAGAAGCTGAACGACAAAGGCCAGAGCATGGCAGCTCCTCCCAGAGAAGTGAGCAGATCAGCCAAGTCGACGTGGACAGGTACCAGGGCTGCGGGGCTGTGCCAGCATCGGGGCAGGGAGGGTGGGGATGTGCGGGAAGAGGGGCCGTCGCACACAGCAGCGCTTGGGAGCCACAGGTGGGTAACCAGAAAAGGAGCCTTAGGAAAGGCTGCTCCCCTGCTTGGGATATATTTGCTATTTCCCACCAGCTTCTCTTGCAGCCCAGGGCTTACGATTCAGGCTCCCACTTGTGCTGTGACAGTCCCTACCATGCACCCTAGGGAAGCTCTGTTCACTGCTTCCCCAGTTACTCTGCTCTCCGCACCCTCTGCAGCCATCAGTCCCTTCATCCATCCAGCATGACAGAGTGAGAGTCTCTGTGCATAACCAGAGGGGAAAGGGAGTCAAATGGCAAGGAAAGTCCAAATCAACAAACAAAGAAGAGAAGGGACGCTCCCTACTGGGTCATGCAACACGACAGCCGGCCAGCTGGGCCTGCGCACGGCAGGGAGCAAGCTGTCAGGCCCCGCAAGGTCTGGGGGGTGATAAGAGCCCGGGTGCCCTGCGGAGAAGCTCAGCATCAGTTCTCTTAGCGTGAGCTCTTGGCTTCCCGAGGCACAGCCTCCCTGGGGCAGGCTGCGGCATGGAAAATTGGACACAGCAGCGATCCTCTTGGGTCCGTTAAAAATCCATCATTTTGTCTTGGTTGATGAATGGTTGCAGTATCTTTATGCAGCCATTGATTTGGATGGGTGGATGAAAGAAGCTGCGCCGAGCGAGCCCTGGGGCGGGGTGGCTTGGCAGTCTGAAGGCAGCCAGAGCAACAAATCTGCGTGGCTTTTCGTGGGTTTGACAGCAGCACCTCCAGCCCCACTGGGCATGCCCAATGGCCAAGGGCTCTGAGAGGTGGTCGGGAACCCATCCCACTACCCAAATCAGGGTCCCCTCTCCTCCTCCTGCCCACCCTGTTGTGTGCAGATGGGAGGCTGCTCTTCTCAGGCTGGCTGCGTTTTAATGTGCTGTCCGTGTTGCTGCTTAGCGGGAGATGTCTGGGATAGTCCCTCCAAACTCACCCAGCAGTGGTGGCAAGTTCTCTGCTGGGATAAGTGGTGTGCTCAGCCCTTCCTGTGCCCATTGGGACCCTTTTGCAGTAATATTTATACTTGGTTTTTCCTCCCTCCTTCCAGTTGCAGACCAAACATTCAGGAAGCGCTTGCTGCCGCCCTGGTGCTCCTATCTGGCTCATGGTATCAGTCTCCTCCTCTTCGCCACCTCCACGGGGGTCTCTGTGTGGATCGGGGTGGGCTTTTCCTCCAGTGTTGCCCTCATGTGGCTCATCTCAGGGATATTCAGCTTTCTGGCATCCTTCTTGGTCTGGGAGCCCCTGAAGGTAAGGATAACATGAGCACGCAAGCACATATCTCTACATGTGTATGTATTAGCTGTAATTAACATCTTGTCCAGATACTAATCAAGTCATACTGGACACCTCCTGGATTGAATACTCCCTCCCATGTTCGTATCCCTGCGGGGGGGAAGGATGTGCGCACCAGCAGCAGTAGGAGAGGCAGGGCTGGTGGCAGTTTGTTTGAGAGGTCGCCCAGCTGCTCCAAGGCAGCGCTCAGCAGCTGTGCCGTGCTCGCTGTCTGTGCCGAAAGGCCCACGGGAGCTGCTGCCCATGGCGGTGCTGGTGGCGCAGCTCTCTCCGCAGGCTCACGACACTGCTGTCTCCGCAGGTTCTGCTGGAAGCCCTCTATTTCTCACTGGTTGCCAAGCGCTTGCACCCAGAGGAAGATGATACCTTGGTAGAGCATCCGTTTGTTGAGCATGTTTCTGAGAAGATCAGCAAAGTCCGACCCCCGCAGGGCTTTGCCCTTTTCCAGGCCAAGGAGGAGGCCAGGAAGGTCAAACTGCTCCACAGGATGCTGAAGGTAAGACATCTCCCGATGCCTGTGGTGCCTAGGGCAGAGTGCTGGCTCTGGGAGCTGAGATACATCCTTGTGGGGGTCCTCTGAATCCAGCTGTGATCCCCTGAGCTAGTAGGTGCACGCCTCCAGTTTCTGCTTCAGTTTTCCCCCCTCTGTAAAAGGCTGGCAGTGACGTTCACCTTCTCTATGAAGCTCTGAGGTGGCTGAAAAGCAGAACCGTAAGGGGGTTGATTTGGAGCGGCTGGCGTGTTTGACTCCATAACTCAGGTGTTTGAGGTTAGGGCAAGGTTTGCAGTGCTGAGTTTCAAGTTGCACAAGAAAATTCATTAGATGAGTCTTGTGAAACACATGACTTCCCATCTAGGAGCAGAAGTTTCGATTTCTTTGTAGCTCATTCAGTACTAATCCTCCACACTTGTGCTGGGAATACACAGCTGCTCTAACAGAGTCAAGTTATTTTTAACTGAGTGATTTTCCCTTTAAAGGATGGAAACCCCCATAACTGTCGTATAAGCCGAGCTGCCAGCATATAGGAGCTCGTATGGGGAGGTTGTGCAACGCGTATCAACTGAAACATGTGGTGCCAGGCTGGCCGTTTTGAACAAAGAATATTGTTATGAGCCTGTGGTCTGGCTTTCATTTTAAGCTGCTTCCCATATGGAAGAAGAAAGAGCAGCATGCTCTGGGTCCTGATCCTGCTGCATAGCAGTCAGCAATCAGTGGAAAGCACTGATTTGCTGCAGGATTGGGAACCAACCCCCTCCCGTGCTTGGGTGCAATCCCTCTCTACTCTCTGCTTGCCAGAATTTCCTCATCTACATGATGTTCTTGCTGGTGATCCTGCTCACCAACTACGGAGATGCCTCCCGCAACAGCAGGGCCTTCCTTTTGCAGAGCTCCATCAAGCAGCAGTTGGGCAGCAACGAATTCCTCCACATCAAGAGGTAACTGCGAAGTCCCTGGGGATGGGGAGGAGCAAGATGTTGCTCTGTATCAGAGAAGCTGCGCGGGGCTGCAGTGAGGAGTCGGGGAGCAGGCTGGGGCTGGCTGTTGGGCTCGTGCTACGCAGTCGCTCCCATCGGAGGTTCCCGACTCTACGGGGAGCGCTGGTGCCTCTGCGGAGCTGGGCACTGGCACACGAGCACGGCGTGGCACTGAGCAGGTCCCTTTTTGTCCCTGTGGTTCTGCTTCTCCCCTGGAGAACAGAGGGAACTGTGGGGGTCGAGAGCTTTAATTTTTTTGAATCTTAATTATTTCCTCAATGGGAAGGGACTCTGTGAATTACAAATGTTTATCTTTCTGTATCTGGTCAAAAGGACACAAGTTTGCTCTGTCTCCAAGTTTACGACTGTAAGGTTTAGCCATAAACAGGGTCATGAGAACCAAAAATAACATCTCGTATAAATACAGCGTCCTTCCCTTCCTTGCTCTGTGCATATGGTTTAACTAGATTAAATTTTCCCAGCTGAGTTTCCACATCGCTGCAAACTCCGGGACCCCAGGCTGACATCGGAACGGCTGTCTGGGATTAAGTCTTAATCAAGACCCCTTGATTCTTCTGTGCAAATAGACGTGGCTTGTCCATGCCACACAAAGTCACAGATCCACCACAATATGAATCAGGAACGATTCCAGTGAACTCGGTGGAGTTTCTGGGGTGAAAGTGGTGTAAAGGGGGAGAGCAGAGCAGAATCTGGTCCTAAATATCATCTCTTTTCCACCGTGCTGCCACAGACCCGCTGGTCTGATCCTCATCCAGGTGTCAAGCGGATTCAATCACCTTTTGGTCTTGCATGTCAAATAACCATTTTCCTGACCCAAGCCCAGCCCAGCTCTTGGAATGGGTGGAAATGCTGCCTCTGCCCGCTAGCCAGGGCGGGGAGCAGCCCAGGTTAGCTCTCCAAAACTCAGTCCCCCGCTCCAGATGAAACGCAGATGGTCGTGGGTGAGACACGCAGAGATTGCCCCAGCAGAGCTGCCCCAGGAGCTCTGCCTCTCACGCCTTTTCCCCGTTGCAGGTCAGATCAGTTCTGGGTCTGGATGTCGCAGGTCTTCCTCCCTTACCTCTACAACAACCGGACGGGTCAGGAGAGCTCCAGCACCACGCTGGGGACGGCCCGGCTGCGCCAGCTCAGGCTGCAGGAAGGTCAGTGGGCATGGGCGCGTGGCTCTGCTGTCACGGGGTGGGTGGTGACGTTCCCGGAGGGGTGAAATGGCCAGGTCTGGGTGCAGCTGGGGCTGAATGAAGCAAGGCAGAGGTTACGGAGGCAGGTTTTTCCTTGCAGCGTGTATATTGGCGTGCCTCTGGTTCTGCTCCTGCAGATGAACTGGGGCAATCGATCATGGGGATTTACACTAAAGAGGGAGGCTGAGGATTTCTGGGGGTGTGACTGAGGACGTGGTGGTGGAGGGGGCTTGGGAAGAAGGGCGATGCTAAGTGTGAAAGCTTGGCTGCGTGCCCCAGCGCTGTTTGGCTGCGTTGGGCTCCCCACGGGGTGACAGCGTTGGTCTCATTCCAGCCGAGTGCCAGCGCAGTGCCCAGGACGTCCTCCACAGCGTGGGCATGGCTGCCAGCACAAACTGCACCGACTCGCACAGCTTTTCTACTGCTGACTACGCAGCTGGCTGGGAAAGGGCGGCCGTGAACGTGACGGCTGCGTGGTCCTACTCGCCACCCGACCTGACGGGGTAAGGAGCTGCCCAGCCTGCACCTACACCCCTGCTCCATCTGCCGCAGATGCTGCATCTTTACAGTTGATTCGGTGCCCAGGGGGGTTCCCAGCCCTCGCCTCAGCGAGGCCAACTGCAGCCCCTGAGCCCGGCAAAGCGCAAATGAACACAGAAATGCCGAAGGCCTTCCCTGAGCATGTCCACGCTGGCAGCGTGAATGGTGGGAGGCATGTAGCTGTTGCTCCCTCGACTTCCCTGGAGATGTGCCTGTCACCTCGAGCTGTCTGAACGGCAGCGTAGTGCTGTTCTCAGGGCAGAGGGTTCAACTCCCCAGCTTCAAAGGCAGAGTCAAGCTGCAGAACAAGGTAACCCGGCCGCCCACAGAGACCGCAGAGCAGCACTAGCTTTATTTTACAGTGGCTTATGGGAGATTGGCCTTTACCGGCAGACTGGACATTAAATTGATGTTCGGTTCTGCTCTAGTTTGTTCCTGGATGCTCCTTCATTACTTAGTGCTAGGTTAACGGTTGGACTCGATGATCTTAAAGGCTTTTTCCAACCTAAACAATTCTGTGATTCATTGAAGTCTGGGGCACCACAGGGCTTGGGGCTGTTCTGAGGTTGGGAACACTGAGATGGATCAATGCACTTCTGTAATTTGTTTTGTGAAATAAATAAGGAGGCAGCTGTTTTCCTTGGCTATGCAGTGTAGGGGTCAGGGCCTGCATTTGCACACTTGCTCCTGGCCCGCCGCATAGGAGAGCATACCAGCGGCTGCTCTGTCCTTCAGCTCTCACCCTGTGGCTCCTCTTCCTCTGCAGGGTCTGGTACTGGGGTTACATCTCTTTCTACGATAGCAGCGGTTACATCCAGGAGCTGGGGGCTTCACTAGAGGAAAGCAGGGCTCAGCTGAATTTCCTTCAGGAGCACACTTGGATCGACAACATGTAAGTGTGGCAGGGGTGAAGGAAATCTTCTACTGTCACCCAGGTCTTTAAGGGGTGCTGCTGGAGTGTCACAGGGGTAGAGGATCTATGATCCTACAAAATGGTGGCACCAAAGCCCAGAGTTGGTGATGTCCCAGTGCCCTGAGCTGCTCTTCTCCCCTCACAGGAGCCGGGCAGTCTTTGTGGAGCTCATGCAGTATAACCCCAGCGTGGACCTGCACGCTGCCATCACCCTCCAGCTGGAGTTCCTGGGGGCCGGCCAGGCCATCGCCGCTGTCACCATCAGCCCCTTCCCGCTGCTGCGGCTCAGCGGGGGTGTCACGCTGCAGCTTCTCATGATGGTCAGTGTGTTACTTCCCCTCCACGGTCCTCTTCCCTCTTGGTCACTGCACTGAGGGCTCTGGGGACCCATTGCCCGGGCTCCTAGAAGGGCAGCGTTGGTCGCTGTGGACTAAAGCTCTGCTGCCTGAGGCCACTTGTCCCCATGCCTGTCACCACTCTGTTTCTAGGCCTGGATAGCACACAGAAAACACCCCTGGCACCACTGAGGGGAAGGGGATTCCTCCAGTCTGGCAGCATTTGTTGGTCTTGTCTCAGCCTTTTTGCTTCCTTGAACTCATGCCTGTCGCTGTGGAAACTTGAGGCTTTTCTTCTGTCCTCAGCGGGGACATCAGCCAGCTAAGCCACGTCCCCAGAGACCCTGCCTGGGCTAGGGTTTGGTGTCAGCGGAGCTCTCTTCCCCTGGGCACTGCCACCCAGCCGCAAGTGCATTGGACGTGGTTTGGGGAGCTTCAGTGCTAGGGCAGGCGGGAGCGGGGCACTGAGCGAGCCAGGGAGAACGCGGGGACGCGCTCCAGCTGTAGGCTGGCAGAACTCAGCCTAGCGCGTGGGGCTTCTGCCGTCCCAGGGTGCTGCAGGGTCCCCCGGTGCAGCACAGCAGTCGAGCGTTGCCCTCTCCTTCCCTGGTAACCTCTCCACTCCTCCCCCAGGTCTTCCTCATGATGTTTGTGGTCTACTTCGTGGTGTCCGAGTCGCTCTCCATCAAGAAGGAGGGCAGGGCCTACTTCACCCTGTGGGGCAACTACGGCCAGTGGGTCTTCATCCTCCTCACCACTTGCACCGTGGTGGTGCACCTCAGCCAAGCCACCCTTGCTGACCAGCAGTGGCTCAAGTACCTCAACAACCGCAAAGGTTTCACCAACTTCTACCAGGTGGCCTTTCTCAACACAGTCTTCAGCACCTTGGCTGCATCCCTCCTCTTCCTCCTGACCGTGCAGGTACGGAGAGGGTTGGGTGGGAGCAGCACGTGGGCGGGGACGTGTGCTTTTGTCCCCCTGTGCAGCTCGTCATGCATGCACAGTCCCACGGCAGGGGTAGCAAAGGGCCCTGAAGTAAAAACAAACGCGAGACTGTGGTCCTGCTCAAATGTGACGGGGCTGCTGCCACATCCAGACTCCGCTGCAGGGCAGAGGCGGTGGGCAGCGATGCCCTGTGCGTCTCTGCTGTAGCACTTCGGGTCTCTAAAGCCTCTGGGCCCTCGGTTCCCTTGGGGAGTTCAGCCCAGTGTGGCTGATGGGAGGATTTTGTGTGCAAGGAGCCCCTTAACTAGGATGTCCGCTGCCAGAATTCGCATTTATCAGACTTGTAGAGATGTTTGAGAGACCCTTCCCTGGGCTGGAAGGATCTCGCCGCAGCCTCTGCGATGGGCCCATGTTGTAACACCGTCCTCTCTCTCGGTCCTAGGCTGCCCAGCAGCTGCGTTTTGTCAGGCAGTGGTCCATGTTTGGGAAAACCTTTCAGAAGTCCGCGAAGGAGCTGACCTCTGCAGGGCTGGCGTTTGCCGTCCTCATCCTGGCCTACGCTCAGCTCGGCTTCCTGGTAACTACCTGCCGTCCCCGTCTCACCTCGCAGAGTGGCTGGCTGTCAGCAAGGGCTGCCCGGGGTCGCGTTGTCCCTCGTCCCTCGCCACGCCGCAGCTGTGAGCAAAGCCCAGCAGGCTCCCTGGGTGCTCCGGTGCCCAGCCTGTGCAGGGTGCTCTTGTCCGCTGCAGTCCTGTCCCTGTCACGGCCAATTCATGGGCTGCTTCGCAGGGCTCATGCTTTTGAAGATGGGGTAGTGAGTATCAGGGGTCAAGGGGATGTTTTGCCACTGATCCCTTCTCATTACGCCTCCACTGTCCCCTTTGCAGCTCTTCTCCTCCTCCTCGGAGTCCTTCCGCAGCGTCGGCAGCAGCCTCCTGCTGCTCTTCGCCATGCTGCGGGGCAGCGCGAGCCTCCGCCCCTGCCTGCCCGAGTCCTCGGGCCTCTACTACCTATTCTGCACCAGCTACATCATCCTGGAGGTGTGGATCGTGCTGAGGCTGTTCACCGTGGTGCTTATCTACAGCTACCGGGAAATGCACTTTGAGCTGTACCGCCCCGCCTTCGAGCCCCAGGACTACGAGATGGTGGAGCTCTTTGTGCGCAGGCTGAAAATGTGGATGGGCTTCAGCAAAGCCAAGGAGGTGAGTGCAGCCTGGAGACGCCGTGGAGACGGGGCCCGGCAGCAGGCAGTGGGCTGCAGACATTTGCAGAGAATCAGCGTCCACCACCCTTAGCCTTCCTTTGCCTTTGGCTACTTCCCGCTGCTGTTCAACAGTTAGAATCAGAATCATTTAGGTTGGAAAAGACCTTTAAGATCATCCACTCCAACCATTAACCCAACGGTTGCGTGTGAGGGCGGAATCAGTTGCCATTCCTGGAGGCCCAGGAGCTGGGTTAGTGACGGGGCCTTGTCGGGGCATCTGCTGCCAGTTCTCAGTCCCACGGTTCCACGTGTTTTTATCTGGGATCTGTCCCCAGGTCCGTGCCGCGGCCTGGCCACCAGGAACGGCTGGGAGCAGCCCTGGGGCTGTTTGGAGCGGGACACAGGGCCATAGCGCAGCCTTCCCCTCGCCAGCTCCTGAAATAGCTCTGCCCCCTGCTCCCCTCTTCTCTTCCAGTTCCGGCACAAGGTGAGGTTCGAAGGGATGGAGCCGCTGCCATCCCGAGACTCCAGTGACTCCAAGTCCTTCCGGGGCCCCACTCCCAGCGCTGCCTCCGACAGCTCCAGGGCCTCCACCTCCTCCAGCCAGCTGGACGGGCTGAGCCTCGTGCTGAGCACCCGGGACAGCCTGGAAGTGGACGCTGAGATCCAGCGCCTCCTTTCCCTCTTCGAGATGCTGCTTGCCCAATTTGACCGGGTCAACCAGGTGACGGAGGACGT